AAAGGTCTCCAACTTTACATTTTTCTAAAGCAGTATTCTTGTGTAAATTTAAGAGATAAACGGCCTATTCTAAAAATTTAAGAATCAAAATGCAGCACAGAATATGATGAACTTAAAATATCTAAAAATAGAAAAATAGTGCTCATTTAACTGTTTTGAACATTGACTTTCTTTTCCTTTTCATAAACTGTCCTCATGTTTGGGAGTTCCGAGAAGAAAGATAAATAATATTTAGTGGTTGATTAATCTGTCCTCTGATGTTTCTATACTGAGTTCCTCTGTAGTGAGGATTTTTTACTAAACTGAGAAACTATATATTTGCCTCTTAGAATAAAAAGTAATGATATGATAAAAATTATACAGAATGTTATGAGTATAGAAGTTTCCTAATTTCTTCCATCCCTCCACAATCTTTCCCTGAAAATAACCACTATTATTTCTTGTATTATCTGTGGGGGAGGGATAAAGAATTTACAAGACCGATTATATCCTTCATTAATAAAATTTACACTAAAAGGATCACATACACAATGCAACTAGTAATCTTAGTTATCTGTCTGTCAGGTAATGTCTTATAAAACATTGAACTAGACAAATCGTATATTGCACTGTCACCAACCAGAGCCATTTACTCGCAAATGGTAAAAACTTGGTCTCAAAAATGCGGTATGTTGTCTGATGCACAGTTTTATTTACCAGGAAACCAGGACTGATTTTTCTTGTTTTGAGTCTTTAAAATCCTTTTAAGTAGACCACTGGTATTCGAAAGTGCTTTGAACACTAGCAACTTGGGGAGACTATAGCATTAGAGTAACATGTGATTCCTCCAATGAAGACAACATATATTCTTTTTTTTTTCGAGAGATTTTCGCTATAGGGCGCGTGCGCTCTCCAGATAGACAGAGAGAGACATAGAGACAGAAAGCTAGAAATCAACCCCCAGAGGGGATGGTCACGCCGCAATCCCTTCTCCTCCATTAAGAGGATCTTGGGCACGCACGCACACGCGCCCGGTGTGAGGGTTTTTTTTTTTTTTTTTTTTTTGGGAGGGTTTTCACTTAAG